TGTGCGAAAATTACGCTTTATTAATCGAAACTCTGTAAATCATACTTTGTGTGAAAATAATTTAAAAGGTGTCGGAGTTTTACTGCCTCTAGTGTTCATTTCTTTTGGAAACTGCAGTGATATGTACTTATTGGTACGTATTTCTCGTCTCGCGAAAAAGTGCCCCCAGGTACGTTTTTGCCATGAGACCGGGTAGCTTTAAACAGTAGTGTATAACAAAAAAAAAGTATCTTTCTAATACTTAAGACCCACTGAGTATATCCAAAAGCTTTTTTCTGCCATTTGACTATAGTAAAACACAAACCAATCAAAACCCAATTAGTGCGACAACAGGATCAATCGCGTATCTCTCACCCACAGGACAGCGTTTGTTTGTGTGTTTGTGATAAGGTTTATCACAAAGCCTCCGGTATGTCAGACCAAACTTTCTGCTCTCCAATAACATCAGCAGGTTATGAGAGAATCTGGAAGGGGAAGTGAAGCGATTCAATTCCATGTCTGCCACAATCCCCTGATAATCAGCCCAAACTAAATCAATTACAGAGAACAAACGCAGGTGATGATTTCCACCACCACCACACCGAGTCTCATCACAGACCTGGAGAGAATGTTCTGCGCTGACAGAGAAGGCCATAACGGTTCAGGGCCAATAGATTTACTTATTCATTGATTCAATCACAGCAGCAACGAGGTGGCAAAAATCTAATTCAATTAAAAATAACAATAGCAGCATTTTTTTAATCTATAATTTGACCACATATTTGATAACACTAATGAGGTTTTTTATTTGTGATGTAGAAGTGGGAAGAGTGAAAAAAATTAAATAAAGCAAAGCTAATAGAATTCCATAATTGAGTGCCTCCTCTATTTTAAAACCCACGAGCCGCCACTGACTACACATTGTGTGTGTATGTACACATTTGAGTTATGAGCAAAATGATCTGTTCTGACAGATGTGTTCAGTTCATGAATGATCAGATTCAGAGAAAATGAAGTGTAAAATTGATTTCAAATCAATAAAAATTCAATCAAAAATCTCTGAAAAGCATTCTCAGTTCCTGCAAACTTTTAAACCAACCCAGTCTCATAAAAATACGTACCTCTGGGTACTTTTCTGCAACACCGTTTTAACGTACCTTACTGCACGTTTCGCCACACTTTCAAAGAGAAATGTCCACTGAGTGGCGCTAAAACACGGGTTCAATACGTCATCCCTGGCATGTTTTTACCACCACACCGAGTCTCATCACAGACCTGGAGAGAATGTTCTGCGCTGACAGAGAAGGCCATAACGGTTCAGGGCCAATAGATTTACTTATTCATTGATTCAATCACAGCAGCAACGAGGTGGCAAAAATCTAATTCAATTAAAAATAACAATAGCAGCATTTTTTTAATCTATAATTTGACCACATATTTGATAACACTAATGAGGTTTTTTATTTGTGATGTAGAAGTGGGAAGAGTGAAAAAAATTAAATAAAGCAAAGCTAATAGAATTCCATAATTAGAATTAGGAATCAATCCTAATAAGATCAAACAAGAATCTTCTAAAAAGTATCTTAGAATCAAATGAGATCCTACTGAACAAACTCATATTCCTATTTTAAGTTTAATCTCCAGATATTTTTTGGGTCCATTAGAATCTTATTTGAACCAATTACCTCTCTATATATATGACAGAAATCCCTTTATAATGGATAATGAACCCATTACTTTTTTTTTTTGACAAGGAACATAAGAGAAAGTATGAAAAAACGGGTAGAAAAAAATGCAAAAATATGCTCTTATACGTCCATGATACTTGTCAAACATATGTCATGTCAAGTTCAAATTAAAATGCAATTTCTTACTAAAGACTGCAGAGTTGTGTGTAATGTGTAATTGGCACTATTGCTTGTATTTTAATATAATCATTTAGTTGCAAATGTACTTCAATTTTAAAAAGCAATTTGTATCTAGTTCATTAAAAACAGTTGAGATCACATTTAGCTAATGTGATGAAGTCTTGGTCTTTAACAGAGACATTTATTCAGCTAACAATCAGACCAAATTACACCCATAATCAGTATTCTTTCTTTCTTTATGCAGACAGCAGGCAATATTAACTTGCAGCTGAGAAGTTGGCGAGCTTATGGTTATTAGCTACTTGCACAGGAAATTGCTCTCATTAAATAGATGGTCTGACTGTCAAGTTGGGAAATTCAGTAAAATCATTTTGTCTAAATTGGACTGGAGCGTGTATAATTGACTATAAGCGACTATTAAAGACATAGCAGATGCTGAGTATGCCAGCCGTATCCATTACTCCTCAAGATGATTGAAAACCCAAACCAATAGCCCACCTATCAGTCTAAGCAATGAACCGGCTGTGGTCTTGACTGCAGAGCCCCATGACTCAAATTCATTTTCACCACATCTCAGAAACTGTTTTTCCAGCAGCAGCGTTTTAGTGATTCATTCTTAATAAGAGCAACGTTGTCTGCCCTAAAAGTAAAGATGATGATATAAGCATCCGCCAAAAAACATTCACCCAGATACAACAGGAATTATGTTGCAAGCAACATAAAATCCCTCTCTGCTATTTTGTACTGTAGTGAAGGCTGTATGCATTGACGTGAGGACATCTGGGTGGGGTTTTTATGCTCCCTCTCATGAATATTCACTGTTTGCTTCTGTACTACAGCGCTATGATTTGGCAACTAGTTGTAATATCACATTTTACAAGCTAAAAAAAAGAATTAGTTACAAAAATTGAAGATGCATTTCCTCTAACAAGCAGTTCATGTAACACAACTAAACACCCAAACATGACATTTATTATTGATGGAAAGCAAATATGATGTTTTTCTTCACTGTCCTTGATGTTCAGAGCATCTGACAACTTATGGCATCTCTATATGGAAACAGCTGAGCAGCAACATCAAGTGCTTTGGGCAAGCAGCCTATGTAGATGCAACTCACCGGATATATTAGATATTTATGCTCATATAAATACTGTACAGCCAGAAAGTCTGGAATCAAAATTGTTACATGTGAACTGCTACTTCTAAAGCTTAATTTTCTTAAAATTCATGGCAGCTCATAACCAAAAATGGTAACACTTTATTTAAAGTGTCCTTGTTACACGTTACATGTAGTTACTATTATAATAATTAGAAATTATGCATAATTACATGCAAGTAAACCTAAACCAAACCCTAATCCTAACCCTAACTAGTAAGTAGGCTACATGTAGTTATTACTCAGTATTTAAATGTATAATTACACTGTAACAAGGACACCTTAAAATAAAGTGTAACCCAAAAAAATGTATTCCATTAACAGTTATAGGATAAAAATAAAGCCTGATCCCGAAGGAGAACATTTTATGCTTCTTTAGACCAAAACCATCTACATACTGATGTAGATGCTCTCAGTTAACGGAACATGTATGCTGGTCGGGAAAAACCCCTATAGAAAGCAGAAAAATTAAATTTTTCTCAAAACAACCAAATATTCAACTTAAGACCGCACCGTCTTTTTGTTTGTTTGTTTTTAAATAAGAAAAGGATTCTTTGCTGAACCTAAAAAATAAAACATTTGAAGAATCTTTAATCAAACCAAGTGTTATTATGTGGTCAACATGAAGTATAAACACCATGAAATCAAAGTGATTTCAACTTGAGCGAGTCAATGTAAAGTGATTCTGCCTCATACCTGCACGAGACGGTGATCTCCACTTTGGTGGCGGGAATATCCCCCGTGATAGGGTCGAACTCGCACACTGAGGCCATGTCCTCCAGTTTATCCATAACGTCGCCTTCCATGGGCGCGCGGGACAAGAGGAAGCTCTCTTCTTCAAACAGTTTTGCAGTTCTGGGTCCTGCGGCGCTTACTAAAATCTCACAGCTCCAGCGAGGACCGCAGCAGGGCGAAAGAGAATCAGCGTCTGTGCTGGAGGAGTGCTGGAGACCGCGGATGTCCTGTGATGCGCTCAAATTAAGAAACCAGCAATGTTACAAGAAAAAAAGATGACTACATAAAGTGTTTGCTTTGCTAAATGAAAAACTCAAGGAAGAGTACAAGTGCGCGACTCTTCTGACAGCGATGAGATCTCTGCGTCTGCACTGTGTGGAGTGGAAAGTAAAAGAGCAGATCTCCACCCCTCGCGCATTCTTTCACACATTCGCTCGGCGCAGCATCACGCTATTGATCCACAGATACGGCTCAGTCATTACTGCCTGAGCTATTTCTCACGGCGGTTAACTTCTGAAATACAACCCTCAACGCACACTGTAAAAATAACAAGAGGAAATTAACGCAAAAATGCTACACTAAAAACCTGTAAATTGGTTAACTGTCAAGTCAAAGTCACATATAGCGTTTTATAAAATAAGATTGATTCAAAGCAGCTTCACATGAATAAACAGGAAAATATAAGTGTAAATGTGAAACTAGTTATGAAACTAATCCAATTTCAGCTGTAAAGCAGCTTTACAACAGTGTCGTTATTCAGCTCCATTTAGTTCAATGTTGTGAATGTCATCAGTTACGAAACTCTACAGAAGGAAATAGCGTCATTATTCAGCTCATGTCAGTTCAATGTTAATTCGGTTCAGTTAAATAACAGTGCCGATGCTAGTGTCACCATCCAGCTCAATTCAGTTCAAATTTTGTTCTCATCCGACAGCAGGGCAGAACTATAAGTTAACTCGAACTATAAGTTACCTTACCATATACACTGAAAGAAACATGTATAGAAACAATTTTCACTCAGAAGTTGCATTGCAAAAAATTGCATTACATTGAATTAAATGTGAAATTTTGAAGCGGAAAGACTAAAAGTTGTTTGAATTAGCTAAAACAAACAAACTATTTTCTAGGCAACTGAGGGTTTTGTTGATAAGACAACATTTCAGAGTTATATTGTGATGCTGAAAATAAGTGGATTGTTATCAGCAAATATTTTGAAAGGGTTAGAATAATTATAACATAAAATCCCTTTACGTCTGGTAGATGACAGGAATCTGAGTTAGAGCTGATAAAAAGCACAGCATGAGACGGCCCACCCAGAGTTGTTCATGCTGCAACTGCATTTCAGCACCACAGTATTGGAGAGCTCCGTCATCCCTTTTCCTGCCATCCAGCAACACTAATTGAAAATAAATAAATAAATAAATAAAAAATTACTAGTACAGACAAATTCCCACAAAAGTTTCTTAGAATCAACGTTAATCACTTGTCAGATTTAAATACAGCTGCTGCTGTCTACCCTGAACCCAAAGGCCCTGCTGACCCATTTCAGGGCTTTTTCCCCACGCACCCAACTTCCTCCAAACCACCCAGTGGGTAATTATGGGTGTTACTAGTGGAGGGCTGAAGGTGACCGCGTGGCCTGCATTCTGACAGGACGGCATGCTGGAATACTATCTAGTCCCACTGTCACAGAGATCCATGCTCCAGCGGGGGGGGCCTGACTGACACAATGGTGTTGCACTGGTTTTGAGGCTTGGTTAGAATGTGTGTGAAAAAGAAAATAGAAACCCTCTCAAACTCTTGAATTACTCTGCTGCTCAGAATGCGAATTTCCTATCAACTGCATCTGTTATTGTTCCTCTTGAGCCGAGAGTGAAAATGGAGAGACACTTCATTCAGAGTCTTTCCTCTTGGTTTGGATCCAATTCCACAGAGGACTTCACAGACTGACATCCAGCCCTGCCTTTCCGTCACACACACCGGCGGATCAGACACAGAAGCCTCTTTTCTCACTGCCTCCGTTAAATTCCATCTCCAAAAATCACTCAGCACAATAAAGCAGAAACCAAATGGAAAACAAGGCACCGTCACTGAACTAGCCATTGCTACATAATTTCATGGCTTCATGCATGGTGGAAACCATTAGTCAAGTGGCTTTCCTGAACATGACAACATTTATCCACAGGCCAGCCTGCCTGGACACAAAGTAATGGGAGAGTGTGTCATAGATCCGGTGATTTCTCAAGCTGAAAACTCCTGTAGTATCTGTCTAGACATCCGTAGCAGGTCATCCCTGCCATATCTGCTCACAGACCCTCTATGCAACCCAATACATAATTTCATCCATCACTTCCTAAAGAAATAAAGGCCGCATATCCTTTATCTACAACCTCAGGTCTTGGGATTCAGTGTGAGGTGGGTGTTGTATTTAGTTAAACAGCTACTGCAATTGTTAAAGTGACCCCATTTCCAAAGCTACATTTATGTTAATTCTGATTTGAAAAAGAAATGTTAACATTTTTTTCCTCACAGTTTGTGATGTAAAGGAAGAAACAACTGATCTTTTGTTCTATATTGTGACAGAAATCCAAGACTTTCAAAAAAAAGAAAAAAAAGTGTAGGGCGGGACCTTTTTATGCATCGGTTGTTCTTTGGATTTTGAGATGTGGGCGCTTCACTCGAAATGTGAAAATCAGACTAAATGATTGGAGAAGTAATATTTTGATTAAACATTACAAGATGAAACATATGCATGGATGAAGAGTTCGCAGTAAGATTAATAACATGCATTTACAAAACAGATACATTTTCACTTCATGCCGAAATGCGCTGTTTTTTTCTGTTGTTGTCTTATAAAGTGCTGAAGTGATGACGTGTTTTGTAGGCCGACCCAGAAGTTAGCATCACCCTGGTTCCATAGACAAAAAAAATTGGCTTTTGGATTGCTGCAAAACATAACACAAAAATTCTCTCCATACTTACTCTGTATAGTACTCCAGTGAAAATATTGTAAAAAATAGCCTGACCGAAGTTAATATCATGATTTGAGCCGATAACGACAGGTCATTGCACACTATATTCCGAAAAGCTAAAGCGTTTAGTTTTTAGCAGTTCATCTGTCTGTTATTTTGCCACAAGCTGATGAAAGCAGCTGTGAGAATGTGGTCTATCTCCCCTGCACAGATGATTCCCTCTCTGGATTCCTTCTGGGTTTGGCCACATGTTGCTTCAGTTCAATGAGGTGGATTCTGTCACCGCTGGTTCAATGGATAAACGACAGCTTATTTGTTAGTAGTCAAATTGAACTCAGTACTCCTGAGGCAGGAGTCTGTTTAAGAGTTATATCTTCTCTAAAGCTTTTGACAAATGCCATTTTTCATTCGAGAAAGAAGCAATGCATTCAGTGTTTCAGCAAAAGCACAATATCAGACAGCTTGTTTGAAGCCATTGGTTTCTAGGTCAAAAATCAGTAAGCCTACAAACTGCAATGCAACTTCAGTTTGAAAGGTAAAGTAAGTGTTAAATAAAAGAAAGAGTGGTCTGTGAAAGCTTTTAGATGGCAAAGTTATAGCTTTGTAAAGATCATTCATTGTCCACAGTGCTCTGGCTGTCACCCTGTATAGGGATCTAAAAAAAGTTCAATAAAAAAGACAGTGAGAAAGCTAGTTCTCTCACAGACGACAGATATGGTGACACATGCCATAGTAACAAGTAGGTTTGGGGGTCAGGTGATTTGTTCTGTGACAGGAGGGCTGTCTCGTTCTCCAATGCTCTTATGTAAAGCCATTTTTCCACACTTATAATAACTTCCAAACTAAATAAATCTCTGAGCACAACATGGTCGACTGAAGCCCACGCCATTTACTCACCCATCCATTATTTACTTACTCTTTTATGGTTCCAAACCTGCATGACTTTCTTTCTTCTGTGGAACAAAAACAGAGATTTAATAAGTATCCACTTGGGTGAATTCAATGCAAACACAGTAACCTGTGGCTCACTTTAGCACATAATATAGTACCAAACATGTCAGCAAAACGTACATGTAGCTCGATGATAATTTTCCATGTGTACCGGCCACAACACAAAATTTAAGCATTTTAACAGTAAAATTGTGGTGTCCAGAATCTTGCACTTCACACTCTAGTCAAGTAGATTGTGGAAATGTTCACTTGGCAGGCCTTCTGGTATTTTAATAGCAAATATAAAATGTGCAAATGTTGACATTTTGGAGATGAATTATTTCTTTAAATTTCATTCTGTGAGAAAAACAAAGAATACACTCTAACACAAAAAAAGGTTTTTGAACTTCACCTTGCTTGTTCCTACCTGAAGAGGATGAGTATATTTGCAGGAGCAATCTCTGCTGAACAGTTCTCTAAAAAAACCTTTAAAAATGACCTTTGATAACAAAAGAACAAGCCAACGCAGTGAAAATGGAAAAGAGAGCTGGCAAAATAATATTTGGGCTCAGAGATGATTGCCCTTTGTACTTGGAAAACCAAAACAAACATTCTGATTAGAAGTCAAGCAACACTCAAACCTTCAGAAGTTTTTCTGCACAATCTTCAAGTCAGATTCTTGAATTTTTCAGAAGATCATGCATAGGTCCTTCTTCAAACATCTGTAATCTTTGCTCATTTATTACATAAATGTAGAAGACACATTAAAGCTGCTTCCTTAATTGAAAAAATAATCAACAAATCAATTAACTAATCAGGAAAAGCATCCTCTTTTGATCTCATCAAATCTTTTAATTCCTTAGCGGCAGTGAGTGGTCTAACCATGTCGTGTTAAGCAACCAATGGCCAATCAAAGGCATTTACCTTAGGAGCTGGTGTATTATGAAATCCACTCAATTCCACTCAAAATGGCAAAGTTTTTAGTTGCTTAATTGAAAAAATAATCAACAAATCAATTAACTAATCAGGAAAAGCATTCTCTTTTGATCTCATCAAATCTTTTAATTCCTTAGCGGCAGTGAGTGGTCTAACCATGTCGTGTTAAGCAACCAATGGCCAATCAAAGGCATTTACCTTAGGAGCTGGTGTATTATGAAATCCACTCAATTCCACTCAAAATGGCAAAGTTTTTAGTTTTAATGATTATAACTGAACTGAAGTTATTGAAAATGGAGGAGGAAAACTGCAAAAATAATTGAAATATAAATATACAAATAAAAAAAATTTAAAAAGAAAGAATATTAAAATGTGTGCATAAATAAATACATGTGCAAGGAGATCTATAAATAGAAAAATAAATAAGATAATAAAACAAATAAATAAAATATAGATTAAGATTACTTAATCACGGACAATAATAAAAAAGGATTTGTTAAAATCTTGCTGCTCTAAGATATATTAAAAGGGACAAGTT